AAAGTTATCATAAGTTAGAAATATATATTATAAATATGGATCAAAATAAATAAGAAATTTTAAAATTCATATACTCTAATTAAAAAACTGCCTAAAAATCCAATCGTAAAAAAAAACCTCTAAATATTTTTTCACATAAATAACTATTGTATTAATTATGTAGGAGTGCATATAAATATTTTTTTTATTATAAATTAATGTCTTGCTCTTAAAAAAAAGAAAATGGGATTGATACTCAACAACAATATTATCATCACTTTTAAGTAATTTATAAATTTTTTTAAGTTTTACTTAGTGACCGAATATAATTTTATCGCTAAATTTGACTAATATTTAGCGACCGAATAGAATTCCGTTGCTAATTTTAACTAATACTTAGCGACCGAATAAAATTACATCGCTAATTGTAACTAATATTTAGTGATCGAATTTAATTTTGTCGCTAAAAAAATAAAAATTTCTGATTTAGAGACCAATTCAATTCTGTCACTAATTTTAACTAATATTTAGCGACCGAATTCAATTCGGTCGCTAAATTTAACTACTATTTAGCGACCGAAATCAAATCCGTCGCTAAAAAAATCAAAATTTCTAATTTAGCGATCAAATTCAATTCCGTCGCTAATTTTAAGTAATACTTAGCGACCGAATTCAATTCTGTCGCTAAATTTAACTACTATTTAGCGACCGAATTCAATTCCATCGCTAATTTTAACTAATATTTAGCGACCGAATTAAATTCCGTCGCTAAAAAAAATCAAAATTTATAATTTAACGACCTAAATAGCGACCGAATTCAATTCTGTCACTAAATTTAACTACTATTTAGCGACCGAATCCAATTCCGTCGCTAATTTTAACAACTATTTAGCGACCGAATTAAATTTTATCGCTAAAAAAAATCAAAATTTATAATTTAACGATCGAAATAGCGACCGAATTCAATTCTGTCGCTAATTTTAACTAATATTTAGCGACCGAATTTAATTCCGTCGCTAAAAAAATCAAATATTAAAATTTAGCGACTGAAATAGCGACCGAATTTAATTCCGTTGCTAAAAGCTCAAAATTTCTTATTTAGCGACCGAAATAGAGATCGATTTTCTAGCGACGACTTATTTTGGTAGCTAAATCGGTCGCTATTTTGATTGTTATAATCGGTCTCTAAATCAGTCGCTAAATAGCGACTGATAAATTTCGGTCGCTATTTTGCAATTTTCTAATAATGGATATTACTAATTAGATAAGTTTACTTAAATATATATAATAGTATGGACTATCGGACATCATTAAATTTTGACTAACTACTAAATAGATAATAATAATTAGTTTGATAATCTTAAACACGTCATTAGCTCTATTTAGTAGTCATAAGACTATAATCTCCTACTTACCATTTTACTCATCAAAAAAAAAAAAAAAAATATATATATATATATATATATATATATAATAGTCAGTAAATATTATGTAACAATTTATTTTGTCCATTACATAATATACTTTAATTCCTCTTGGCATATAATTGTAAAATGAGTAAATAACATTTATCTCACATAGCTAATTTTCTTTATAATATATTGGTGTCTAAGGGTGTGTTTGGGAAAAGAAAAGTAAAGAAGAATAAGAAATGTGTTAAAGTTAAAAAATGAATGTTATTTGATAAGGGAGAATTAAAGTGATGTGTAAGGAAGTTGATGTGGGTCCACACCAAAAAAATTTTCCAATCTAAAATGAGAGAAAGTGTGGAGAAGTTAATGAGATAAAAAAAATAATCATAATAATAATATTAAATAATACTAATAATAATAAATAATGAATATATTTTTTTTTCATTTATTATATTTAAAATAAAAGGAGTGATTATGTAATATAATAATAGCAATAATAATTAATTTTCATTTATATCTTAAAAGAAATTTATTTATGAATATTATATTTATTTATTTAAATAATATAACTATAATAAAAAATATTTATTATGTTCAAATAAAATTATTTATAAAAATATATTTGTTTATTTTATAAAAATAGGAAAGATTACAAAGATGGTCGCAATAAGGATTGAACATAAGTTCTCATGCTTCTAATTATCTCAACCCCTCCTCATCCAATCACTAGACTAATCGTAAATCCTAAACTCCAACCTTAACGGTTTATATTTGTTTATTTATTTAAATAATAATATTTTTATCTATTTATAATCAAAATTATATAACAAAATTATCAACTTTCATTCTATTTTTCTTCTATTTCTCTTTTGTCAAATAAATTTTATTTCTATTCTTTCTCAACACTTCTCCACGTTTCTCTTCTCTTCTTTTTTATTTATTTCTTTCGTTTTTTACCAACACAATGTAAAAGACACTTTATTTCTATGTATATTTTGTTTAGAAATTAAAACTCAAATAAATGATAAAAAAATAATTAAAATTAAATATGAGAAAGAACTTAACGATAAATATAAACAATTTTAGATAATTAATTAGAAAGTGTAATAAAAATTGAATAAAAACAAGTGCTTATAAAAACAAAATTATCAATAAAAAGTAGACACTAAAAAATATATCACCTTTACTAATAATATGATAAATCCTGTTAAAATACTTTTTAAATACACTCTCGCATTTTATTTAATAACTTTTTTGTTTTTCCTAATTTTATAATTTTTAATAAATTTTAATTAATAAAAATAAATATATTAAGAGAAGACTGAGAAGTATGATAAATAGTACGTTACTAACGATCCTCTGTAATGTAATAAATACATTGAGTCTTGCTAGCAAGGACTAAGGAGAAGTGAGAAGTGAGAAGATTTTTCACTGAAATGAAAAGTGCATTAATAATAGATTTATCCTATACTAAACTAGGTACTAACTGGGTTTTGTGGCGAAAAGTAAATGCTGAAACAACTAGTACTGAATGAATACAACAAATCTGAACTCAGAAGCCTAGTTGTTGGAAGTGGCTGCAATGTCAATGACAAAACGGTAGCGTACATCGTTTTTAGCAAGACGCTCCAAAGCCTCGTTGATTCTGTCAGGTGTGATCAACTCAATGTCACTCGTTATATTGTATTTCCCGCAAACCTCCATCATTTCCTGCGTCTCTTTCATTCCCCCTATGATCCCACCCTTCACTGATCTCTTCCCTGTGTCACACACATGTTAATCAAAGGTAATTAATTAATCAGCAAAGACACAAGTGAAGGGAAATTAAGGTCAAAGTTACTACCAAATATCAATGGGAAAGCTGGTAATTGGAATGGCTTGTCCGGTGCACCCACAATGAATAAGGTCCCATTTACTTTTAGCATTTCCATGATGGGCAAGAGAGCGTGCTCTGCTGATACAGTGTCCAATATGAAATCTAGGCTTCTTTTTGCAGCCTGTCATTGCATAAACTATAAATTATAGATACAAAAGTATTTTTATATAACAAATTTTATATTTTAGAAAGAAAAAAGAGAAAAATATTAAATGTAAGGTCATATTTAGTAAGAGAGATTCTTATATTTGAGTATAATGACTTAATTTTCACATGTATAATGAATTCTTTTATAAGAACTCACAAAAATCAAGTTTTAAAATAAAAAAGGAAGAAAGTGAGTTCATTGCATTGTATAATCTAGATAAAGTGGATTAAGAATTTAAATTGTTTTTTCATTGAAGAAAAAATAGAAAATGTTCTAAAATCCTAAGTAACATTGAAGGCCCACAAAAAACACATTAAAAACTCAAAATATATTATATTATTGAAAATATTCTAATAAACCACGGAAGAGATTGACATAAAGATGATATTATATAAATCATTATACATATATCAACATTCAATATGTTTTGAGAAATATTTACGACACTCTTTTACTAAGAGTCTTTTTATAAATAACCAAAATTTATTAAAAATTACAAATTTTACTAAGAATTAATAAGTCTATCTTTCAATGTATGAAAGAAAAAAAGTGTAAATGATGAAATTAAAAAAGTGTGATTAACTTCAAAAATAATAGAGGTAATTAAATAAATTAATTAAAGAGTTAAAAAAATAATTCAACAAATTAGTTAAGAGATAAAATGACAAGAAAATATAGATATTATAATAAGATATTTCTTTTATTAATGTTATAAATAAAAAATATTAAATATAATATGACTAATATTCGTCTTATAATTTTTTGGCTCATGATATATACACTTCTTTTTTTTTTATAAGTACACCTCCTTTTAAAAAAAAATTATAAAATATTATTTTTAAAAAAAATTAATTTTACACTTTCAACTTTCAATTTGTTACTTTCTTCTTCTTATTCACACATTTTTTTTTATCTTTCAATTTTTACATGTTACCAAAATAGGTGGGGTGAAGGAAAAATAAGAGGGTACATGTAAAAATTGAAAAAAGGAAAAAAGATGTGTGAAAAAAAAAGTACTAAATTAAATATTGTGGATGTAAAATTAAAAAATTTAAAACAAAAATTTAAGAATATTTTAAAATTTTAATTATTTTTTTAAAAAGGGGTGTACTTATAGAAAAAAGGAGGTGTATATATCATCAACCTAATTTTTTTATTACCATGTCCCATTAGCCCAAAGCCCAAAGCCCAAAAACATCAAACCATATTGTTGTGGGCAAATATATTTTGGATCAGCGGTCTGACATGAAGTTATTGGCATTATTACTTAAATATTATACGTTAGATTCGCTACTAAAGTTATAAATGTTGACATGATTATTGATTAAACATGTTTGATAATTAGTACGTATTTGAATGCAAAACGAGGTAACAGACCTGTAATTGTTTGGGGTTGGAGCTGACTATGAAATCATCAGCACCCAAACGGTCCTTAGCTTCAGCTTCTTTGGAGGGAGAAGTGCTTATGACAGTAACATGGTGGCCAAAAGCCTTGCCAAATTTAACAGCTATGTGTCCAAGCCCACCCAAACCAACCACACCAATCTTTTTCCCCGGAGTTTCTACCAAACCGTGGTCCTTCAAGGGACTGAACACTGTTATTCCTGCGCATAGTAGAGGAGCTGCTGCGTCCATTGCTAGGTTCGCAGGAATGTGCACCACATATCTTCACATCAAAATTTTATTATCTTTAGACAACAACTTTACTTTACCCAATAAAACAAATTGAAAATTCACAATACTTTAACGTTTTACTGAAAATAAATCACTAGTACTTTCCTTTTTCTTTTTTATTTCATACAAGGGAGACGTACCAACCACTTGACAATTACTACTCATTTCAATACCAACCAGTGCAACCAATCAAAAAAATTTGAAACCACAATAATATGGCCTAGTTGTCTCCAACTACTGCTGCCACTCAAATAAAAGCAAGTCACTTTCAAAGCGACTGTGTCACGTCCGTACTGAAATTTATGGAAAAATAAGACAGATATTTCATATTTTTAATAATTACATAAATATTAGAGTTATGAATAATTATTTAAAAAAATATAATTCTTTTTTACATTTAAGGATATAATTATTCATTAAAAAATGAAAATAAAAAAAATGATTACTAAAATATATTTCTTTTATAGATATATATAATTAAAATATTTTAATCATAATTTTTTTTATTGCAAATAATAGAATTATTTTCTTTTATTTTTGTCAACAACGCCATATTTTTTTAAACAATAATATTTTTTTCCTAAAGTTAAGGACTAATTTTTTTTAAATGCTAAAATATATTTAAAAAAACTAACTTTTTCTAACAAATAGATTTTTACATGCGCTGATTATTAAAATTCATTTAATAAATTCAGAAAAAGAAATCCATTTAATACATAAGAAACAAAATTATGTATGTTTGTCATACCTTATTAATTCAAGAAAACTACTTGAAGTTTATCATATCCGGAAAATTTTCTGAATGTTAAAGGTACTCAGAAAAGGATTACTCCTTATTTTATTTAGCGTAAGAATATTTTTTCTTAAACATAAATAATTTAATTATTTTTATATTATTTAATATTTTTCTAAAATATCAATTTTAATATATGACTTATTAATTACATTATTTCTTTTGATATTTATCATAAAAATAATTTAGAAAGAATTTTATCAGATTAACAATTAATTTTTTAATATACCTAAATTAAAAAAAGAAAAACATTACTATATAAGAAAACAGAAGGAGTAAGTAACAAGCCTCCCCCATTTAATACAGACAATGAAACAGAAAAGAGTCGCACATAGGCATTTAATACAGACAACGAAACAGAGAAGAGCATTGTTATACGTTACGAAAGAAACGTCGAATCAGCGACCGAATTTATAAAATATTAATATTTTTAAATAAATTTATTATAAAATAATTATTTAGTTTAATATTTTATTATTTAAATCAATTTTTTATTTATTCGGATCAAATTTCAGAATAAATTTTCGGAGGATGAAGCATTTTTCAACAGAAAAACAATGAAATATATAAAGTCATTCTCTTCATTTTTTTTTCTCTTCCATTTCTTCAATTTTTAAAAAGTAATTTGTACCCCCATGCATGTGTATTATTTTCATTTTATTTATTTGTTCAAAAACCCATAAAAGAAGAGTGAGAAATGGGAAAATCTTAACCCCTGAAACACAGACAAAATCCAGGGCATAGAAAAGAGTGCCCATTGAGGAAGGCTGATAACCAAATAAAATCATTGTAGCTCATTTAAGAAAAAAAAATGTGTAATTTAATTTTACAAAAGTCTATTATAAGATAAAGATTATTTTATTTTCATACATACACGATATATTTAATATGATGAAAACGTGAATCAATTCATCTAAAATAAAAAAAATATAAATTAACCTACCAAAAAATAAGATGGGACATGTTAGTTCATTAAAAAAAATAGATTGAAAAATATAATTCACCCACTTAATAATGAGTTGATGAGTTAACTCATTTTAGTGAATTAATAAATCAAAGGTAAACTTGATTTTTTTTATAGAAAAATTTTAATCAAATTATTGTAATATATATTATCACTTTGACTTATATTTTATTATTATTATAAAATTAATTAGAGATATATTTTTTATAAAAATTGACAAAATAATATATATTTTTATTAAGAAAACATTATACATATTAGCAAAAAAAACATGACTAAAATAATATTTCTATTTTATATAAAATGAGAATGATTATCTAAAAAAGGAAGTTGAATAATAAAATAAAAACATTAATCTAACATAAACTCATTATAAAATTATTTTTAAAAATTTAAAAATAAAAATAGGTTGACAAATTGACCTATTAAATTAACATGTTAAATTCACCAAGTTGGTGAGTTTATTAGTCCAATCCAATTTACAAAAAGTTTGATGGATTAATAAGTTGACCTATTAAATTCAACCTATATTATCATTTCTAATAATTAGTGGAGTCAAGATATTTTGTTGGCACCAAGTAGCTTTCAATTCCGGTCCTATTTAAGCTTCCCTCCAAGCCATTGTACAAACTTTTGAGATAAATGAAATTTGAGAGCTTCTTCAGCCAAATTTCTATTGAGAGTCACCGAAAAAGAAACTTCACCTTCTAGGAACCCTAGCTAGGTTTTCCTACCTTTTGAAGTGAGCTTTCTTTTGCTCCTTAAGCTTGGACGCTTCCATCCTTGGCTTAGTCCTTCATTCATCCGAGAATCCTCCATTCAAGACTCCATTTCATTTGGTTTCAAGTCTCCTTGAAGAAGATTCGTGACTAGGTGAAGCTAAGGAGAGGAACTTCATTCACTTCTCCTTCCTTTTCCATCATTACTTGCAGATATTTGCATTATGTGAATCCCGTTTTTTATCTAGCTGTAGAAATTGCAGACAATGAAGATGTTGCATGCATGTTTGATAATTTTCATTAGCAAAGTCAAATGAGTATGATAGAATTATATATTGTTGTTGATATTGTTGGCACATCTTCTTTTTCCTTACAAGAAATAACTACAGCAGAAGAAGCACATCAACCTCCAGTTTTGACACAGTCAAATGTAATGAGTAGTGACCATTAGTTTGAGCAAACAATTTCGCCACCAACAAATCATCCTGATTCAAACATTGATTTTGCAACAAACTTAAGTGACGATGATGATATCAATGTTGAAGAAGATGATGAGATTGCAGATGATAGCTCATCTGACGAAGGTAACATTGAGCCTCCCATAATGAACGAATCAGGTAATTATAAATGTTTTTTCTAATTTGATTTTAATTTAGTAATATTTATTATTCATATTGTGCCTGTTGTAACCGTATAGGTCCATCACAACCTCCATTTTAGAGCAATACTCCACATTATAGTTACATCGATTGGTCTCATCCAGATCAAGAAATGTGGTATGGTGGATTAGATGTTCCCAATTCTTGGCACGTTGGAGATGATTTGTATGTTGGGCTACGTTTTCATACAAAAGATGATGTCCAAATGGTTGTTAAACACTACTCTATGAATGCTCATCATACATTTATAGTTGTTGAGTCTGGATTGAAGGTTTTATCTGTACAATGCCCTAATAGAAATGAGATTTCTGCCACTCCCAGCATCCCTGCTCGTGCAAGATACGATCTTAATTCATCGAGAATTGACCCATCTCGATGACCACTTTTGGTAGCTCTTATAATACGAAGAACTCTATCAGCCTCACCATTCCATATGTGCTCAGACACGTGAATCGATTGCATAGTCAGTAAAGAATCATCAATGGGTCCCGGATTAACTCTTTTACGAGGCATTATGAAATTATACAAAATCAAGAAATACGTCATAAAATTTAAATAACAAATACCCTAAACCCCTAAATAATGAATAATCAATTAAATCCTAAACAAAATAATCATATACTACTACATCAATATTATATAATTAAAATCACACAAACAAAAATTATTAAACTTAATTTCGTATAGTTTAAATTTTATAACACAAAAAAATGGCAAAACACCTAATTTAGTCCTTTATAATAATTAATAGTTTCAATTTCTGGTTGGCATTCCAGTACGACCTGTTCTGAATTCAGTACGGATCGTTCTGGATCCACAACGGGCAGTTCTAATTCACTCGTTGTGTACTACATTTGCATCTGGAATTGGTTGTTTCAGTTACAAATTTAACACACAACGACTGGGACCAGAACGACCAGTTCTGATTTCAGAACGGCCCGTTCCAGGTTCATTATAGAACGACTACGAAAAAGAAAAAGGAAATATTGTTATTGTGCATTAAAAATTACAATTTTTTTAACACTTCATAAAATTTTCTCATACGTACTCAATTTTAATCATCAACATATTTTTCACATGTACAAATTTTTAACTTATAAATTACAAAATATACATGAAAATAACATATAATTCTTTCAAAATTTTGAAAATTACCTCTTTTCTTCTCTTCCTTTCTCCTTCTCCTTCTCTTCACTTCTTCTTCACACCTTCTCTTCTTGTTTCAAAACACTACTCTCACATGTTATTTAAAGGGAAGAAGATTTTTTTTATTGCAAATAATAGAATTATTTTCTTTTATTTTTGTCAACAACGCCATATTTTTTTAAACAATAATATTTTTTTCCTAAAGTTAAGGACTAATTTTTTTTAAATGCTAAAATATATTTAAAAAAACTAACTTTTTCTAACAAATAGATTTTTACATGCGCTGATTATTAAAATTCATTTAATAAATTCAGAAAAAGAAATCCATTTAATACATAAGAAACAAAATTATGTATGTTTGTCATACCTTATTAATTCAAGAAAACTACTTGAAGTTTATCATATCCGGAAAATTTTCTGAATGTTAAAGGTACTCAGAAAAGGATTACTCCTTATTTTATTTAGCGTAAGAATATTTTTTCTTAAACATAAATAATTTAATTATTTTTATATTATTTAATATTTTTCTAAAATATCAATTTTAATATATGACTTATTAATTACATTATTTCTTTTGATATTTATCATAAAAATAATTTAGAAAGAATTTTATCAGATTAACAATTAATTTTTTAATATACCTAAATTAAAAAAAGAAAAACATTACTATATAAGAAAACAGAAGGAGTAAGTAACAAGCCTCCCCCATTTAATACAGACAATGAAACAGAAAAGAGTCGCACATAGGCATTTAATACAGACAACGAAACAGAGAAGAGCATTGTTATACGTTACGAAAGAAACGTCGAATCAGCGACCGAATTTATAAAATATTAATATTTTTAAATAAATTTATTATAAAATAATTATTTAGTTTAATATTTTATTATTTAAATCAATTTTTTATTTATTCGGATCAAATTTCAGAATAAATTTTCGGAGGATGAAGCATTTTTCAACAGAAAAACAATGAAATATATAAAGTCATTCTCTTCATTTTTTTTTCTCTTCCATTTCTTCAATTTTTAAAAAGTAATTTGTACCCCCATGCATGTGTATTATTTTCATTTTATTTATTTGTTCAAAAACCCATAAAAGAAGAGTGAGAAATGGGAAAATCTTAACCCCTGAAACACAGACAAAATCCAGGGCATAGAAAAGAGTGCCCATTGAGGAAGGCTGATAACCAAATAAAATCATTGTAGCTCATTTAAGAAAAAAAAATGTGTAATTTAATTTTACAAAAGTCTATTATAAGATAAAGATTATTTTATTTTCATACATACACGATATATTTAATATGATGAAAACGTGAATCAATTCATCTAAAATAAAAAAAATATAAATTAACCTACCAAAAAATAAGATGGGACATGTTAGTTCATTAAAAAAAATAGATTGAAAAATATAATTCACCCACTTAATAATGAGTTGATGAGTTAACTCATTTTAGTGAATTAATAAATCAAAGGTAAACTTGATTTTTTTTATAGAAAAATTTTAATCAAATTATTGTAATATATATTATCACTTTGACTTATATTTTATTATTATTATAAAATTAATTAGAGATATATTTTTTATAAAAATTGACAAAATAATATATATTTTTATTAAGAAAACATTATACATATTAGCAAAAAAAACATGACTAAAATAATATTTCTATTTTATATAAAATGAGAATGATTATCTAAAAAAGGAAGTTGAATAATAAAATAAAAACATTAATCTAACATAAACTCATTATAAAATTATTTTTAAAAATTTAAAAATAAAAATAGGTTGACAAATTGACCTATTAAATTAACATGTTAAATTCACCAAGTTGGTGAGTTTATTAGTCCAATCCAATTTACAAAAAGTTTGATGGATTAATAAGTTGACCTATTAAATTCAACCTATATTATCATTTCTAATAATTAGTGGAGTCAAGATATTTTGTTTTTTATATAGTAGTATTTTATGTGAAAAAAGTGATAATTCGTGATTATTCATTATAAAGAATAAAATTAAAAAAAAGAAAAAAAATAATTATACTACTAGTAAGATTTTGGTACTCAAAATAAGCGATTTAGATATTTGATAAATTAAAAAGATAAAAAGATCCATAATCGAAGTAGTTAGCGATTGTTTAAAAGGAATATCTTTTGTATATAATGATATAAACTTTACTTTTACATAATAATATAGATTTTATTTTTAGTTGACCTGAGATGTTTCAGAAAAAGAAATATTATTAAAAGAAAAGGGTGAAGAGAGGAAGGAAGTGTAAGTTAAGAGTGATGAACCTGTGATCTGCGACGAAGATTTGTGAGTAACCACCATAGGTGATGCTTCCATCCCAGAAGATTCCGTTGTACACAAATTGCAACTTTTCACAGTAGTTTTCTTGATGTGCGTCGCAGTACTCACAATCCAAACACGAAGCTGCCAAACACCCCACACCCACCCTGTCTCCTTCCTTGAACCCCTTCACATCGCTCCCCACCTTAGTAATCACCCCAATTATTTCGTGTCTACAACACACAATTATCGACATAAACATTCATATATACGTACTTTCTAACTCCATATTTAATTAATTAATATACAGAGCTTTTCTCTATCAGAAAAAAAAATTAATCTATTTATTTTTAAGTATTGAAACCTTAAAAACTCTTCTAAATTTGTATAGAAACAAATTTTTAATTAATTACCCGGGTACGACGGGATACATAGTGATTCCCCATTCATTTTTAACATGGTGGAGGTCAGTGTGGCAAATCCCACAGTACAAGATCTTTATGGTCACGTCGTTAACGCCGTTCTCCCTGCGTGTTCATCAAATTAGTTAAGTTCGGTGCACGCATGTGGATTGGTTAATTTCTTCATCTTACACTAATTAAGAAAGATGAAGATTAAGAAATGAAAAATTAAAAATTAAATTAATTTACCTTCTTTTGAAGGTGTAGGGGGTGATTTTGCCGGAAGAATCGTGTGCGGCCCAACCAGATACGGTTACTGTGTGATTTGGCGTGGTTTGAGCCATAGAATTGAATGAAGATTTTGGTGAGAAAAAAAGAAAAGAAAAGAAAAGAAAAACACTCTCTCTTACCAAATGCTGAATTGGGACACAGTGATAGATAGAGGATAGAGTGGGGATGGATTTGTTTGGAGGTGGAGGAGACACCGGTGAACCTTTAAAATTTATAGAGAAAAAAAAGCCCTGCTTCGACTTTATTTTTTATTTTTACTTTATAATTAATTAATTATACACCTGTCATCTTGTTTTTTTACGTTTTAATTATACGACTGTCCATTTGTTTCTTCCTTTTAAAATAATTTGTATAGAAAAGGTTGAAAATATTTACTTTTAGTTTTGTTCTTGTACAAATCTGTAGAAATATAAAAAAATTTAAAAACCAATAAATTGAAAATGAGGAGACATGTTTGTATTTTTAAAATGAAAGACTTGACTACCCTCTTGGTCTTCTTAGTTTAATACATGAATAATTTTGATTATTATAGTTTTACTGATTAATTTTAGTTCATGAATTTAGAAGAAAAAAAATACCTAATTTTAGTCTCACTATTATAACTCAATAATTTGTATCATATAAACTTTTTTTTTATATATATTTAATATCAAATTATTTTTTATAAAAATAAAGTAGTACCTTTAACCATAATTTTATGTCCAAATTAGAGATTTGGTTAAAAACAACAACTATCAAAACTATCATATAAACATTTTATGTAGCATTAATTAGTTATTTTTATAAACTAAATTATTTAATATGAAACGTTAAATGATTTAAAATGAAACATTAAATTATTTAGTATTTAATAGTTTAGCAAGCATATTAAAAAATTGAACAATTTTATATTAATAATTTGACTTTTAAAAAAATAAATAATGCTAAGTCACATACTTTTGTGGCATAAATTATCCAATTTACTAAAATTTAACTAATTTATTATTATCTTTGTTCTTATATATAAGATCCAACTATTTAATTCACTCATATTAAAAAAAAAAAGGTAATTAATCTAGTTGATAAGAGTAAATTTATTTTATTTTATAACTTTTTTAAAATTATTGTTGTACTACTGCAGACAATCATTAAGGATTTGCAAAATAACACTAAATTGCACCCCAATTTTGCATGGTACAAGGATGATTAAGGAGAAAAGGCAAGCTAGTTATAGGGGCTGATTATGCACTCCAGAAATCTATTCTTCATTGGTTACACGATTCCCCGTTTGGTGGTCATTCGGGAAGAGATGTAACAGCCTCTAGGGTGAAGTCTCTTTTCTTTTGGAAGGGCATGAACAAAGATATTCAAAAATATGTGCGAGAGTATGATATTTGCCAAAGAAGCAAACCAGATTTAATTGCATATCCAGGTTTACTGCAGCCACTCCCAATTCCCAATAAGGTTTGGGATCATATCAGCATGGACTTCATTGAAGGTTTAGCGGGAAAACAAGTTATCTTCGTGGTAGTGGATCGGTTGAGCAAGTATGCCCATTTTTTGCCCTTATCTCACCCTTCCTTGATGTTGCACAACTTTTCTTGGATCACATTTTCAAGTTAAATGGTATGCCTGGTACAATTACTAGTGATCAGGATCCCATTTTCTTTAGCAAAGTTTGGAGTGACTTATTTTAACTTCAGGGAGTTTGCTTGAACAAATCCACCGCATATCAACCTCAATCGGATGGGCAAATTGAGATTGTCAATAAATGCCTAGAAACCTACCTTCGCTGTATGTGCTCTGATAAACCCTCCTCATGGTCTAAGTGGTTATCTTTAGCTGAGTGGTGGTACAATATTAATTTCCATTCTGCAATTCAAACTACTCCATATGAAGTAGTTTATTGACAACCACCTCCCATTCATCTTCCATACCTTCCTAGGGAGTCCTCAAATTTGACAGTGCCCAGAACTTTAATTGCTCCAGAGGCAGTCATCAAACTTTTGCAATTTCATCTTTTGAGGGCCCAAAATCAAATGTCTCAACAAGTTGACAAGAACAGAAGTGATAGGACTTTCACAATTGGTGATTTTGTCTTCCTCAAGTTGCAACCTTACAGACAACATTCTATGCGCCGCAAAACTTTTCACAAGCTTCTCCCCAAGTTCTATGGTCCTTTCAAGGTGATTGATCGTATTGGGTAGGCTGCTTATCAACTTAAGTTTCTTTCCTCTACTGAGATACATAATGTCTTTCATGTTTCACAATTAAAATTATGCAAGAACCCTACCACTAGTTCCATTCAGTCCCTTCCTCTAAATGTTGGTTTCCTAGATTCTCCACAGGAACCAGAGGCTATTCTCGATAGAAAAATGGTTAAAAGAGGTCGAGTGGCGGCTACCAAGGTTTTGATCAAGTGGAAAAACTTCCCTACGGAGCAGTCTACTTGGGAGTTTTACTATGATGTTCTCAAGAAATTTCCTAACTTCCACCCTTGAGGACAAGGGTGTTCTTGTAAGGACGAGTATTGTTACAGTAATTATCTACTGTTAACAGTAATCAAATATGTCATGAGTTTTCTCTTTTCATATACCTTGTATTTTTTCTTTTTACTGTTATGGGCTTTTATATTTTTTTTTACTGTGAGATTTTTTCTCTATTTTACTAGTTGATGTGGCTGAGTAGAACATTCTAGATTATATGGGCAGGTGTAATACCCATGCATATTATTAGATGTGGTGACAAATGGAAGGAATGAAATGATTCACTTTTTAAAGATTATTCTCTCTCTTCTAACTAATTCTCTGTTACTCAATACGGGTTCTCTGCACCAAGCTCCATTCCTTCATTGGGGCTCTTGTTTATAACTAAGTGTTTTTATCGGTTCTCCCTAAAAATCCAAATTCTGTCACAATTTTTTCCCTCTTATTCAATACTCACATCTCTCTTAATCAATTAGAGTATATAGTATATACTACTCTCTCATACTTAATATGGCATCACTTACTCTCATAACTAATTAGAATGCGTGCCTTTTAAAAAGTCTATAATTAATATATTCCATCAAATTAAGAAAACATGTTTTAATCAGGGATACTTTAATCTAAAAATAAGTAATACATCAAATACTATGAATTGAGTCATATATAAAAGAGCAAATAATGTTTTAAGTTGGATTTTATAAATAAGAACATAGGTAGTTCGTATGTAAAAAATTAAATGGCGAGTCAATAGTAGAAAAAACATCTCTAGTGGTAGAACCTATTTTGGGTTCTTAACAAACTTTTTTTGAGTTCTCTAATGTCATGTAGGATTTTAGAACTTCCTTATATTTTCTCCAATGGAATAACTTAACTTGAGTTCTTAATTTACCTTATGTGGATTACACAATTGATCCCATATTTTTTTATATTTAAAACTGTTTTATTGTTTAAGAACCGGTTCTTGAAAGTTTTTATATAAGTGATTTTTACAAGTGACATCCACACCATCCTACTTTAACGATAAAATTTGTATATAAAAAATTGGTTCTTATATATAAGAATCATGGTAAGAACCTTATGAGAGATCACCTTAAAAAATAAGGTTCGTTAGCATTGTTAGAAAAGAATGACACAATCTAAGAGGGGGGTGAATTGGATTCTATGACACTTTAAAAATTTCAGAGTATTTAGGATCTTTATTTCATTAAACTTTTCTAGAAATGAATTTTCAATGAAGTTTCTTAAAGACTTGTTATAGAAGAATGAATTCTATATGCTTTCTTGATTACAAAACAATGAGGTTCAAAGTTAACAACAATATGTAATGCTTTAATTCAGTTTAAACCAACATTATTCATGCACACATGTTAATCAAGAATCATCTTCTTTAATGTACAATCAAGATATTACACAAAGTAAAAGATAAGGGTAAGAGAAGATTGCACAAGTCTTTTATCCTGGTTCAGCCACTCCACATGTGACTACATCTAGTCCTCAATCACAACCTGATCAAGATTTGTTCCACTATCTTAATGAAGAAGGTTTACAAGCATACCACACATGTATATACTCCTACATTCAAGATAACCACTTTCTTGACCCCAAGAAAGCACCCCTTGTAGAAACCCACTACAAGAATTCTTTACCACTTGAGAAATCATATACTCCTACATTCAAGATAACCACTTTCTTGACCTCAAGAAAGCACCCCTTGTAGAAACCCACTACAAGAATTCCTTACCACTTGAGAAACCCTCTCAAGATTTACAAGTATTCACAAAGAATTAAGGAACGAATTCACCTGGAATTCAGAAGCAAATCTTAATCTTTTCCCTTTCAAGAATGTGATGATGATGATGGTTTTTTCTCAAAGTTTTTCACAAACGTTTTTCTTCTTGGATTCACAAAGAAAACTCTCCAGGATTATCACAAAGACTCCACAAAAACGCTTTTCTAATTTTGATTCTCAATTCTAACTCTGTTCTAAAGTTTCAAAATGTTCAAACTATTTATACAAGTTTCAGAACCAGATAATCGATTATTTTAAAGAGGTTGATCAAGCAAATCAGTCAAGTCTTCAATATCAGTTTGCCTTGTCTCTTGTTTGTTAGACTCATCAAATACAACATGGACAGATTCTTCAACAACTAGAGTTCTCTTGTTATAGATTCTATAGGTTTTGCTATTTGTAGAGTATCCTAAAAAGATTGCCTCATCAGCCTTTGCATCAAACTTTCCAAGTTGCTCTTTCCCATTATTCAGCATAAAGCACTTACACCCAAACACTCTAAAATATGAAATGTTAGGCTTCCTTCCATTTTAAATTTCATAGGGTGTTTTCTTCAATATAGGCCGGATTAGAACTTTGTTTAACACATGAAAAGTTGTGTTAATAGCATCAGTCCAAAAATATTTTGGCAATTTTGTCTCATTCAACATTGTCCTAGCTAGTTCTTCTAAAGACCTATTTTTCCTCTCAACAACCCCATTTTGTTGAGGTGTCCTAGATGCTAAGAAATTATGATTTATACCATGTTCCTCACAGAATTTTTGAAACATTATGTTTTGAAATTCACCTCCATGGTCACTTCTTATAGAGGTAATGTTTGAATTCTTTTCATTTTGAACAAGCTTAGCAAATTTTCTAAAGGCATTAAAAGCATCATTTTTATTTGCAAGAAACATAACCTATGTGAATCTTGAGTAGTCATCTACAATCACTAAACCATAGTAGTTTCCACCTAAGCTCATGGTTCTTGAAGGACCAAAAAAATCCATGTGAATCAATTGCAAAGGTCTAGATGTGGAAATATGATTTTTGCTTTTAAAGCTAGCCTTCACTTGCTTGCCCTTTTGACAAGCATCACATAGTTTGTCCTTACTAAACTTGAGTTTGGGTAATCCTACCACTAATTCTTTCCTACTCAGTTTATTTAAATGATCCATATAAATATGTGCAACTCTCCTATGCCAAAGTCATATATTGTCTTCTTGGGTTATTAAGCACTTAGTATTAGAAATTGCTATTGAGTGTTCTAAGTCAAGCATGTATATATTGTCAATTCTTTTTCCAATGAATTTGATTTCTTTTGTCTTTTTATCACATATCAAGTAACATATATTATCAAATTCAATTTTAAAACCTCTATCACTTAGTTGACTTATACTCAACAAATTATGTTTCAATCCATCAACAAACAATACATTCTCAATCAATGTTTAAGAGGAGGAGTTACCAATATTACCATGACCAAGAATTCTCCCTTTGTTGTTGTCACCATAGGTAACATACCCTTCATTCTTCAATTTCAGACTTGAGAATTTTGAAGGATCTCCAGTCATATGCCTTGAGCAGACACTATCAAGATACCATTGTAAGCTTTTGGCCCTCAAGCATTCCTATAACAAAGATCAGAAAAATGGTTTAGGTACCCATGTGAAGGGTCCTTGATGGTTAGTTCTCAGCCTTTGGCTCTTTTTAATCCAAACCATTTCTCCATTTGGAACTCCATATTTCCTATAGTAGCAATTTCTTATTGTGTGACCTTTCTTACAACAATAATAACAAGTTGTTTGTCTAGTGAAATTGCTTTTAAATTTTCTGAAATCTTGGTTTTTCTTAAAAACTCCTTTCTTTGATTTTAATGGCATCCTCATACTTTGATTAAAACCAAGTCCACTCCTATCAAAAGTATTTCTTTGTTTTCCCAAAATAATATTCCAAAAGTGTTTCTTTATTTTCCCAAAAGAATATCTAAATTTTCATTTCCATTTGTGAACTTTGCAAGAGTAGATTTTAAATCATTTTCTTTTTCAAAGATCTTGCAATTTTCACAAACATCTTTTGAGGAGGTGGAGGTTGTTTACAATAATGATAGTTTATAATAAAATGACATTATAAACTTATTTTATATTTATTGGGATTCATCCCAAGTCCCACATCTGTAAAATGAAGGAACATTGGCTAGTTTATAAGGGTGTCCACCATTCCATATGAGGCCTTTTGGGAAGGACCCCAAAAACAAAACCGTGCGGGCCTAGCCCAAAGCGGACAATATCATACTATAGTGGAGCAACAGGTGGACTATCGGGCCCAACAATATTATAGATGCATATTTATTTTCTCATAGTTTTATTCTTTTAGTTACGATATAAAAAATGTGGGTGAACTAAAAAAAAAATAACAATAATTCATAAGGTTAACGCAATACACATTAGTAAAGGATTTTTTTTTTCTATAATAAAATACCCTTTGGATTATGTTTTCAAATTTTCTTTATCAACAGCTTGGTGTCGAGTTTTTTTTTTTTTTTTTTTTTTGTGTTAACACTCGACAAAGGGTTGTTTTGCAAAGCAAAAGAAGCGAGTTCTCTATACATAGCATCCTTGTTATTATTGTTGTTGGATTGGTCGTTTGCATCGTCCAAAACCATTTTGCTTAGCTTAACAACGCGTGTGATTCTTCGATAAGCAAAACGCATTGAATGGATGGCTTCAAGGATTGTGTCACAACAACGACACGCTTCTAAGCTGGCTTCGAAATATTCCACGAGAAGATGATGCAGCTTCAGCCTCTTCGTTATGTTTGTTATCGTTTCTTGGCGTGGCTCTAGCAAATACTCCGTGAGTTGCATGCACAAAGGAATGGAAGAAGGAGAAGAAGAAGAAGATGATGATGAAGAGAGTGTTTTGGTGCTTGTTTTTCCAATCCTCACTTGTGCTTTGTTGCATATTTCAATGTAGGACTTTGTTCTGAACGCTTCGAGATATTCCTCGTTCACGCTTCGCTTGTTACGTAATCCATCTTCCTCGCATGCTTTACGTGATGTACCTGTTTAATTTGCAAAACCAAAAGCAACAACTTTACCAAACATTCTTTATGATTTCTGAGTTAACAAATAACAAAACAAACATCTAATCGAGAGAAAAAGGGAAGCAAACATATATACATCAAATTAATGCAAAACCTATGTCTAAGTACATGATACTTTATGTTATTATGATGAGAAGAAATTAAATAAACTTACCTGATGTTCTTCGTAGAGAGGAAAGCCACCTAATACATGTCATATCGGGTAAAGAAGAAATTAATATTAATCGGAGACAATGATGGATATATAAGTCTATGTTGTTGTGGGGACTCGAAATCTAATCTAATTAACTGAATGGAGGGATTGTGGCAGCAAAATATATATAGGGAAAAAGAAAGAGAAAGAAGTGTTGTGTGTATTGGTGGATTGGGGAGAAGTTAAGGAGAAAAAGAGAAGGAATCTAGTTGGCAGTTAGCAATACCACAAATGGTTAAATGGCTTTGCTCGCACGTTAACGTACCTCACACGGTGTGTTCTCCCACGTCAACACTAGGCAACTCCTCCCATAAGCTCAATCTACCCATTTTCAATCTTTTCCCACGCAAATTCATTAGACAACTAGGTAACTCTTCTATCAGGTTCTAATTTTTATATTAAATATTTTTTTTTATAATATATGTTTAGAGTTTAACGATCACGGTTCATTGAAAATGTATAATAATTTACACCGATAATCGAGGACATATTATTGTTAGTATAACTTTTACTCATTTATTATTTCTATCATATTTTTTTTTATGTTTAAGGTTTTTATACACCCCTTAAGAAATAAATATTTATCACCAATATGTTAAGTCTAAAATATACTTATTTAATATCTTTAACAAGAAAGATTATGGAATAAGAATGACATTTATTAAATAGGAATATTTGTGAAAAAAGTTAATTAATATTATTTGAAATGTGTAAAAAAATTAAAACATAAAAAATTGTAGTCCAAAAAGAGTTTAAAAGTCAATAGTTTACAATAATGATAGTTTATAATAAAATGACATTATAAACTTATTTTATATTTATTGGGATTCATCCCAAGTCCCACATCTGTAAAATGAAGGAACATTGGCTAGATTATAAGGGTGTCCACCATTCCATATGAGGCCTTTTGGGAAGGACCCCAAAAACAAAACCGTGCGGGCCTAGCCCAAAGCGGACAATATCATACTATAGTGGAGCAACAGGTGGACTATCGGGCCCAACAATATTATAGATGCATATTTATTTTCTCATAGTTTTATTCTTTTAGTTACGATATAAAAAATGTGGGTGAACTAAAAAAAAAATAACAATAATTCATAAGGTTAACGCAATACACATTAGTAAAGGATTTTTTTTTTCTATAATAAAATACCCTTTGGATTATGTTTTCAAATTTTCTTTATCAACAGCTTGGTGTCGAGTTTTTTTTTTTTTTTTTTTTTCACGAGAAGATGATGCAGCTTCAGCCTCTTCGTTATGTTTGTTATCGTTTCTTGGCGTGGCTCTAGCAAATACTCCGTGAGTTGCATGCACAAAGGAATGGAAGAAGGAGAAGAAGAAGAAGATGATGATGAAGAGAGTGTTTTGGTGCTTGTTTTTCCAATCCTCACTTGTGCTTTGTTGCATATTTCAATGTAGGACTTTGTTCTGAACGCTTCGAGATATTCCTCGTTCACGCTTCGCTTGTTACGTAATCCATCTTCCTCGCATGCTTTACGTGATGTACCTGTTTAATTTGCAAAACCAAAAGCAACAACTTTACCAAACATTCTTTATGATTTCTGAGTTAACAAATAACAAAACAAACATCTAATCGAGAGAAAAAGGGAAGCAAACATATATACATCAAATTAATGCAAAACCTATGTCTAAGTACATGATACTTTATGTTATTATGATGAGAAGAAATTAAATAAACTTACCTGATGTTCTTCGTAGAGAGGAAAGCCACCTAATACATGTCATATCGGGTAAAGAAGAAATTAATATTAATCGGAGACAATGATGGATATATAAGTCTATGTTGTTGTGGGGACTCGAAATCTAATCTAATTAACTGAATGGAGGGATTGTGGCAGCAAAATATATATAGGGAAAAAGAAAGAGAAAGAAGTGTTGTGTGTATTGGTGGATTGGGGAGAAGTTAAGGAGAAAAAGAGAAGGAATCTAGTTGGCAGTTAGCAATACCACAAATGGTTAAATGGCTTTGCTCGCACGTTAACGTACCTCACACGGTGTGTTCTCCCACGTCAACACTAGGCAACTCCTCCCATAAGCTCAATCTACCCATTTTCAATCTTTTCCCACGCAAATTCATTAGACAACTAGGTAACTCTTCTATCAGGTTCTAATTTTTATATTAAATATTTTTTTTTATAATATATGTTTAGAGTTTAACGATCACGGTTCATTGAAAATGTATAATAATTTACACCGATAATCGAGGACATATTATTGTTAGTATAACTTTTACTCATTTATTATTTCTATCATATTTTTTTTTATGTTTAAGGTTTTTATACACCCCTTAAGAAATAAATATTTATCACCAATATGTTAAGTCTAAAATATACTTATTTAATATCTTTAACAAGAAAGATTATGGAATAAGAATGACATTTATTAAATAGGAATATTTGTGAAAAAAGTTAATTAATATTATTTGAAATGTGTAAAAAAATTAAAACATAAAAAATTGTAGTCCAAAAAGAGTTTAAAAGTCAATAGTTTACAATAATGATAGTTTATAATAAAATGACATTATAAACTTATTTTATATTTATTGGGATTCATCCCAAGTCCCACATCTGTAAAATGAAGGAACATTGGCTAGTTTATAAGGGTGTCCACCATTCCATATGAGGCCTTTTGGGAAGGACCCCAAAAACAAAACCGTGCGGGCCTAGCCCAAAGCGGACAATATCATACTATAGTGGAGCAACAGGTGGACTATCGGGCCCAACAATATTATAGATGCATATTTATTTTCTCCTATTACATAGCACTTTCTTTTGACTTTGTTTTGTCTTCTAAGTTGTTGTTGTCATTGGCACACATTTGTTATCATCAAAACTCTTCAAGCCTTAGAGGTGATCTCATCAAGTTCAGGTTACAACAATATCAACAATCTTCCCCTTTTTGGTGATGACAAACCATGACACCAATCAAGACAAACCAAGCTAGGCTTTAACCATTGTGCTTTTTCTTTCACTTTCAACACCTACAAAACACAAAACCTGCAAAGCCATACACACACACAACAACCTTTCTCCCCCTTTGGCATTATCAAAAACAAATCAAGCCATATTTGTTCACAATACACAATATAAGCCATATGCATACTCCTTAGGTGCTCAGAACAATACCAAAACACATAACACATCATAGGTATTGATCAACATCCAAACTTTGTGAACAGAAAATTTTCAAATTTATCAAGTTATCTTCAATCACAATGTCTAATTCATTACCATAAGAATTAGATGATCAGCAACAAAAACATTCATTTGTCAACCAAAATCACAATGTGCAGTTCATTATTATAATTCAAAGTCCACAATCATTATCAATTATGCCAATCAAAAATCAATTATCAGAATATCAATATTCAAAAACAGAAAATCAATCAACATGCTCAAAAAAACAGAGCATTATAGCATCAACCAACCAAATCAAAATTGTCACACCATCCAAACCAATATATCAGCAATTTAAACTTCAAATACCATCAGAAATTAAATTGTTCAACAGATTAAAGCATTCAACTTGTTCTGGAATTAAAAATATTAGAACCAAATTGAAATTAAAATTCAAAAACAAAATCTAAAAGTCCTAATTAAAAACTGATCAACAGAACAAAGCAGAAATCACTCCGAGTCTTCAGGTATGCCTAGGTGAGTCTTGAGTCGGTTCACTTCACGATCAAGATCATCAAACCTATCAAGAATACCAGAAAACAATGACTCATGCCTTCTAGACATCTCCATCACAACGTCAAGCTTACTTATCATGATTTGCTGGAATGGAGAGAATGGTTTAGGCTCCGCTTCTGGTTCACGGTCAGGCTCAGCTTCAACCTGTGGTGGCTGATCTTCATCATGTGATGGAACACCATCTTCATCGGTCGTCGGTTCAGGGGTTGGAGGTACATCTCCCTTGAACACCCATTTGTCTTCCTGTTTGAGCATCCCCATGTGATGCAAGGAAGATTTCTCAATTTTGTTAGAGGCATGGAGAATTATTTTCTTCTCCCCTGTCAAGTCTACCCCTGCATTCTCAAAGATTTTTTACAGCAACAGAGCATACGAAATCGGTCCATCCTCTTTCCGTCTTGCTTTCCACATACAATCATTAACGACTGATACCCAATCAATTTTGATTTTCTTCTTAATCACATGCATCAGTAAAATGTCATCCCTTGACATTTGGGCATGGTTATGCAGACGGGGTTTTAACATCCAAGCAATTATAAAGGAAATTAAACGGGAATTTTTCTTCATACCTCCCGCCAGAAACTTGTTGTAGTTGGTGGTCTCAGGATTCCTCTGACAATCCCTGAAGGTCGTCAGCTCCTCAAAATCACCAAAGTTGAAGGGTTGGGGTTTTTCACGTCCCGTGCCGCTCAGCCCGGCAGCCGCCTTCAATGTTGGCCCGTCAAGCTTAATAAGCTTCCCCTTCACCACTAATTGCATAATGCCTTCATTGCTTGTTGCAAAGCAAAGAAACAATCTAATCAACTCAGGGTAGTAGGGTCCGTCCATTTCCAAAAACTTTCCAAGTTCTTGGTGCTCCAGAAGAGTTGGAAAGCTAAAGCCTTCATTCTTGAACCATTCCAACTTAAGGGTCTTGGGAGGAATGATTCTCCGCCCCGCATACCACTCAAAATAATACTTGTGGGTCTTCTCATCCGTGAACCACTTGGAAATCAGTTGCCCTGAGGGCAGAGGGCGTTTGCTCCCCCTCACTTCAAGCTTCTTGGGTCTCTTGGAGGAAGAAGCCATGAATGGGTCTTGGTGGAGAAGAAGAGAATGAGAGAGATGAGGAGGTTAGGGTTTGAGGGTTTGAGAGAATATGAGAATGTGGAGAAATGAGAGGTTTTGAGGGTTCTTATGCCCTAGCACGTTCTGAGTGGGAGAGGTTTTCCAACTGAAGAGTTATAGGAGGTTAAGGGTTTGGCGCGCATATAAACCGTTCAAAATGCTTCAGGAATGTCTAAAGTCACCGAGATAATCGATTATTTATACAAATAATCGATTATTTGTATCAGTAAAACCCTTTAAAAACACTATCTTCTATGAATAATCGATTATTTTTAGAATAATTG